AAGTAATACATTTGTAATTGTATTACTTGCAATACAAGTGTATTGTATTGTAATGTATTCCTGATCATTTGAAAACACATTACTTATACAAACTGTGGTCCCCAAAGACACATTCATAATATTTTCTTTACTGTGTAATAAACATTTTCTGACGAGCAAATTATACATTATAAATGTTTTACGTAATTAGGCCTAGGGTAGGTCTAGGCGTTTCGCTTTGATTGGCAATTGTTTGGATTTAACATAGGAAGGATAATAAAGGGAGCTGCAGAAGGCCTATTGGCTTACCGAGACGGCTCCTATTTATATCCACCCAAACATTCATACACATGTCTAACCTACGCTTGAAACAATCCAGTGATCCCACCTCTATTTTACCCGGTAATGTGTTCCACAACACTAACGGTGTTCCTAGTGTTTACATCTTGTCACCAACGGTGACAAGGGAGCCGGTCGGCCGAGCGGACAGCACGCTGGATTTGTGATCCTGTGGTTCTGGGTTCGATCCCAGGCGCCGGCGAGAAACAATGGGCAGAGTTTCTTTCACCCTATGCCCCTGTTACCTAGCAGTAAAATAGGTACCTGGGTGTTAGTCAGCTGTCACGGGCTGCTTCCTGGGGGTGGAGGCCTGGTCGAGGACCGGGCCGCGGGGACACTAAAAAGCCCCGAAATCAGCTCAAGATAACCTCAAGATAACGGTGGAGTATTGACCAGATGTCTATATTACCCTGCTGGTGTGGCGGGGCAGTAGTCTTGTGTTGTTTACAGTCTTCAGTGTGACATAGGTCTACGGGCTCGCCATAGCCCGTGCTACTTGGAACTCATTGTTCCCGGTAGCGAATCTTAAACAGCAAGAGTGTGACATAATGGTCATTACATTGACCGGCTCCTGGCGTAATGTAATGGGTTTGTTGTAAAATATATATTGTTTATGTACATCATGTCGGTAGATCTTCCATTCAAAATTAGACGTTGAAGTGAATTTATTTTGATTAAACTGATTTGTCAGCTCGGATGTTCTGGCTTTATGTCTGCTTTACTTCCTGTCTGCCTTTATGTCTGCCTTTATGTCTGCTTTACTTCCTGTCTGCCTTTATGTCTGCTTTATTTCCTGTCTGCCTTTGTCTGCCTTACTTCCTGTCTGCCTTTATGTCTGCTTTATTTCCTGTCTGCCTTTGTCTGCCTTTATGTCTGCTTTATTTCCTGTCTGCCTTTGTCTGCCTTACTTCCTGTGTGCCTTTATGTCTGCTTTATTTCCTGTCTGCCTTTATGTCTGCCTTACTTCCTGTCTGCCTTTATGTCTGCTTTATTTCCTGTCTGCCTTACTTCCTGTCTGCCTTTATGTCTGCCTTACTTCCTGTCTGCCTTTATGTCTGCTTTATTTCCTGTCTGCCTTACTTCCTGTCTGCCTTTATGTCTGCCTTACTTCCTGTCTGCCTTGCTTCCTGTCTGCCTTGCTTCATGTCTGCCTTACTGTCTGCCTTACTGTCTGCCTTACTTCCTGTCTGCCTTACTTCCTGTCTATCTTACTGTCTACCTTACTTCCTGTCTGCCTTACTGTCTGCCTTACTGTCTTACTTCCTGTCTGCCTTTGTCTGCCTTACTTCCTGTCTGCCTTGCTTCCTGTCTGCCTTCCTGTCTGCCCTGTCCGCCTTACTGTCTGCCTTACTTCCTGCCTTACTTCCTGTCTGCCTTACTTCCTGTCTGCCTTACTTCCTCTCCTGTCTGCCCTCTGCCTTACTTCCTGTCTACCTTACTGTCCGCCACTGTCTGCCTTACTGTCTGCCTTACTGTCTGCCTTACTTCCTGTCTGCCTTACTTCCTGTCTGCCTTACTTCCTGTCTACCTTACTGTCTGCCTTACTTCCTGTCTACCTTACTGTCCGCCTTACTGTCTGCCTTACTTCCTGTCTGCCTTACTTCCTGTCTGCCTTACTTCCTGTCTACCTTACTGTCTGCCTTACTTCCTGTCTACCTTACTGTCCGCCTTACTGTCTGCCTTACTTCCTGTCTACCTTACTGTCCGCCTTACTGTCTGCCTTACTTCCTGTCTGCCTTACTGTCTGCCTTACTTCCTGTCTACCTTACTGTCTGCCTTACTTCCTGTCTACCTTACTGTCCGCCTTACTGTCTGCCTTACTTCCTGTCTACCTTACTGTCCGCCTTACTGTCTGCCTTACTTCCTGTCTGCCTTACTTCCTGTCTACCTTACTTCCTGTCTGCCTTACTGTCCGCCTTACTGTCTGCCTTACTTCCTGTCTACCTTACTGTCTGCCTTACTTCCTGTCTACCTTACTGTCCGCCTTCCTGTCTGCCTTACTGTCTGCCTTACTTCCTGTCTACCTTACTGTCCGCCTTACTGTCTGCCTTACTTCCTGTCCGCCTTACTTCCTGTCTGCCTTACTTCCTGTCTACCTTCCTGTCTGCCTTACTTCCTGTCTACCTTACTGTCTGCCTTACTTCCTGTCTACCTTACTGTCCGCCTTACTGTCCGCCTTACTGCCTGTCCGCCTTACTTCCTGTCTGCCTTACTTCCTGTCTACCTTCCTGTCTGCCTTACTTCCTGTCTACCTTACTGTCCGCCTTACTGTCTGCCTTACTTCCTGTCCGCCTTACTTCCTGTCTGCCTTACTTCCTGTCTACCTTCCTGTCTGCCTTACTTCCTGTCTACCTTCCTGTCTGCCTTACTTCCTGTCTACCTTACTGTCCGCCTTACTGTCTGCCTTACTTCCTGTCCGCCTTACTTCCTGTCTACCTTCCTGTCTGCCTTACTGTCTGCCTTCCCCCCAGCCCCCCACAGCGTGCGGGCGAGGCTGGGGGGCAGGTGGCTGGCGTAGTGGTGGTGGCCGCGGGCGGGCAAGAGTTGAGCCGCACTTGTTAGTAATCTCTTGGCCAAGTTGGGCGCGCTCCCTCCTCTAGCCTCGCCCTCACGGCTTGATTGGACGGCCGCTTCTTTCCTCCCGTTAGCTAACGCTGCTCGTTTGTTTCCGACACGATCATCGGAGAGGCGGCCCGGGAGAGATGTGTCACTTGTTTTCCACGTGTGTGGTACATACAATCACTTGGCGGGCGGCTACAATCCACGAAGAGGGGAGAAAAAGAATTACAATGGCCCATAAACACAATCCTTCTTGCTCAATATAATCCCATCTCCAAAGGAATGTAATCCCATAAGGCGGAGTGTCCAGCTGTGGAGGGGATTTAGATTCTCCTCTCTCGCGCCTCGGCGTCCCCAGGGAGGAGGGAGTTGGGAGGTCGGCAGGCAAGGTTTACCCGCTTATACTATTATCTTCGACCCAAGTACCTCACCAATCCTAAATTTATCTCTGTTTGTTCCCCTTTCTTGCCCGGATTTTATATGTATTAATAGATATATATGTATATTACTTATATGTAATTTTGTCCGTGTCCATATTAGGATTTTAATGAGTCAAAACTAAATTTATGGGGGATTTTGGGTTATGGAGATGTGTGTGTGTGGGGGTCGATCGTGTGGTGGGCCGCGCACGTCGTGAAATGCCACATATGTGCAATTAAATCCCATTACGGGTCCAATACCTTGCCGCGGCCACATTTGTCACGAGTGTCGGGTTCCAATTGGTTTCGAATTCGGTTTAAATCACAGGGGGAGAGACAGAGATCCGGACGGATTTCAGGATCTATTAATTTTGGCGTTCCGTATCGAGGTCTCGGGATGCGTTTATTTTTGTATTTTTTGGGGGGAGGCGTTTTATGTTAAAGTTGACGCGGGTTGATGGGGGGGGGGGGGGTAGTTGCGTGTCTGTCTCGCCTGTTCCTTCTCCCGTCCAATTTGACCGTCCAATTTGACAATTTGACCAATTTGACAATATTGACAATTTTGAATTGACGACAATTTGACTGAGGGTGCGTGCATGCGTGCGTGCGTCTGCTGGTCATGAGTCCTCTCTCTTTCCTCGCCACGTGTAGTGACCTGGCCACGTGTAGTGTCCTGGCCACGTGTAGTGACCTGGCCACGTGTAGTGACCTGGCCACGTGTAGTGACCTGGCCACGTGTAGTGACCTGGCCACGTGTAGTGACCTGGCCACGTGTAGTGACCTGGCCACGTGTAGTGACCTGGCCACGTGTAGTGACCTGGCCACGTGTAGTGTCCTGGCCACGTGTAGTGTCCTGGCCACGTGTAGTGACCTGGCCACGTGTAGTGTCCTGGCCACGTGTAGTGTCCTGGCCACGTGTAGTGTCCTGGCCACGTGTAGTGTCCTGGCCACGTGTAGTGTCCTGGCCACGTGTAGTGACCTGGCCACGTGTAGTGACCTGGCCACGTGTAGTGACCTGGCCACGTGTAGTGACCTGGCCACGTGTAGTGTCCTGGCCACGTGTAGTGTCCTGGCCACGTGTAGTGTCCTGGCCACGTGTAGTGTCCTGGCCACGTGTAGTGTCCTGGCCACGTGTAGTGTCCTGGCCACGTGTAGTGTCCTGGCCACGTGTAGTGTCCTGGCCACGTATAGTGACCTGGCCACGTGTAGTGACCTGGCCACATATAGTGACCTGGCCACGTGTAGTGACCTGGCCACGTGTAGTGTCCTGGCCACGTGTAGTGTCCTGGCCACGTGTAGTGTCCTGGCCACGTGTAGTGTCCTGGCCACGTGTAGTGACCTGGCCACGTGTAGTGTCCTGGCCACGTGTAGTGTCCTGGCCACGTGTAGTGTCCTGGCCACGTATAGTGACCTGGCCACGTGTAGTGACCTGGCCACATATAGTGACCTGGCCACGTGTAGTGTCCTGGCCACGTGACCTGGCCAGTGTCCTGGCCACGTATAGTGACCTGGCCACGTGTAGTGACCTGGCCACATATAGTGACCTGGCCACATATGGTGACCTGGCCACGTGTAGTGACCTGGCCACACGTATAGTGACCTGGCCACGTGTAGTGACCTGGCCACGTGTAGTGACCTGGCCACGTGTAGTGACCTGGCCACATATAGTGACCTGGCCACATATGGTGACTTGGCCACGTGTAGTGACCTGGCCACATATAGTGACCTGGCCACGTATAGTGACCTTGCCACGTATAGTGTCCTGGCCACGTATAGTGACCTGGCCACGTGTAGTGACCTGGCCACATATAGTGACCTGGCCACGTGTAGTGACCTGGCCACGTGTAGTGACCTGGCCACATATAGTGACCTGGCCACATATAGTGACCTGGCCACATATAGTGACCTGGCCACGTGTAGTGACCTGGCCACATATAGTGACCTGGCCACGTATAGTGACCTTGCCACGTATAGTGACCTGGCCACGTATAGTGACCTGGCCACATATAGTGACCTGGCCACATATAGTGACCTGGCCACATATAGTGACCTGGCCACATATAGTGACCTGGCCACGTATAGTGACCTGGACACGTATAGTGACCTGGCCACTTGTTATAGTGACCTGGCCACATATAGTGACCTTGCCACGTATAGTGACCTGGCCACATATAGTGACATGGCCACATATAGTGACCTGGCCACATATAGTGACCTTGCCACGTATAGTGACCTGGCCACATATAGTGACCTGGCCACATATAGTGACCTGGCCACATATAGTGACCTGGCCACATATAGTGACCTTGCCACGTATAGTGACCTGGCCACATATAGTGACCTGGCCACATATAGTGACCTTGCCACGTATAGTGACTGGCCACATATAGTGACCTGGCCACATATAGTGACCTTGCCACGTATAGTGACCTGGCCACATATAGTGACCTTGCCACGTATAGTGACCTGGCCACATATAGTGACCTTGCCACGTATAGTGACCTGGCCACATATAGTGACCTGGCCACATATAGTGACCTGGCCACATATAGTGACCTTGCCACGTATAGTGACCTGGCCACATATAGTGACATGGCCACGTATAGTGACCTGGCCACATATAGTGACCTGGCCACGTATAGTGACCTGGCCACGTATAGTGACCTGGCCACATATAGTGACCTGGCCACATATAGTGACCTGGCCACATATAGTGACATGGCCACATATAGTGACCTGGCCACGTATAGTGACCTGGCCACGTATAGTGACCTGGCCACATATAGTGACCTTGCCACGTATAGTGACCTGGCCACATATAGTGACCTGGCCACATATAGTGACCTGGCCACATATAGTGACCTGGCCACATATAGTGACCTGGCCACATATAGTGACCTGGCCACATATAGTGACCTTGCCACGTATAGTGACCTGGCCACATATAGTGACCTGGCCACATATAGTGACCTGGCCACATATAGTGACCTGGCCACGTATAGTGACCTGGCCACGTATAGTGACCTGGCCACGTGTAGTGACCTGGCCACGTATAGTGACCTGGCCACATATAGTGACCTTGCCACGTATAGTGACCTGGCCACATATAGTGTCCTGGCCACATATAGTGACCTGGCCACATATAGTGACCTGGCCACGTATAGTGACCTGGCCACGTATAGTGACCTGGTCACGTGTAGTGACCTGGCCACGTATAGTGGACCTGGCCACATATAGTGACCTTGTTACGTATAGTGACCTGGCCACGTATAGTGACCTGGCCACATATAGTGACCTGGCCACATATAGTGACCTTGTTACGTATAGTGACCTGGCCACGTGTAGTGACCTGGCCACGTATAGTGACCTGGCCACATATAGTGACCTGGCCACGTGTAGTGACCTGGCCACGTATAGTGACCTGGCCACATATAGTGACCTGGCCACGTATAGTGACCTGGCCACATATAGTGACCTTGTTACGTATAGTGACCTGGCCACATATAGTGACCTTGTTACGTATAGTGACCTGGCCACGTGTAGTGACCTTGTTGCGTATAGTGACCTGGCCACGTATAGTGACCTGGCCACATATAGTGACCTGGCCACGTATAGTGACCTGGCCACGTATAGTGACCTGGCCACATATAGTGACCTGGCCACATATAGTGACCTTGTTACGTATAGTGACCTGGCCACGTATAGTGTCCTGGCCACATATAGTGACCTGGCCACGTATAGTGACCTGGCCACGTGTAGTGACCTGGCCACGTGTAGTGACCTGGCCACGTATAGTGACCTGGCCACGTATAGTGACCTGGCCACGTGTAGTGACCTGGCCACGTGTAGTGACCTGGCCACGTATAGTGACCTGGCCACGTGTAGTGACCTGGCCACGTGTAGTGACCTGGCCACGTGTAGTGACCTGGCCACGTGTAGTGACCTGGCCACGTGTAGTGACCTGGCCACGTGTAGTGACCTGGCCACGTGTAGTGACCTGGCCACGTGTAGTGACCTGGCCACGTATAGTGACCTTTATACACCCACGAGTCTTTATTTAAATCAAACGTGGAGGGAGAATTCCATAGGCTCGGAAAGTCAATTATTTTACCCATATTCTGCGTTCTTGAGTCCATCCCCAGAGTCCACTCCAAGTGTGTGCGTGCTGACTACTGCCCTTCATGCCTTGTATGCCCCCGGGGGTCACGCGTCATAGGGGTCATAGCCCCCCGCATAGTTGACCAGACCACACACTAGAAAATGAAGGGACGACGACGTTTCGGTCCGTCCTGGACCATTCTGAAGTCGATTGTGTCTCATAATCGACTTGAGAATGGTCCAGGACGGACCGATACGTCGTCGTCCCTTCATTTTCTAGTGTGTGGTTTGGTCAACATACTTCAGCCACGTTATTGTGACTCCTCGCCCTCATAGTCAGCTTCCCACATAAGCTGTTAAGCTTCATATAGCGTATTTATAAAGCTTCATACAGTGTAGAAGAGAGGCAGGAGTTGCTTCTCAGGGCAAGTGGCTGGTTAGCTCATTGGTTTTGTTGTCATTTCGACGACATGTGCTCCTAAAATAATGGTGCTTTTAAGAAGTTTTAAGTGTTTAAGCAGTTTAAACACTTAAGAAGAACTTTAAGAAGTGCTTTTGACAAGACAAGAAGACAAGAGCTCGATGAGACATGATCACCACATACAAAATTAAGAAGCACTTTAAGAAAGTTTAAGCACTTTTAAGAAGTGCTTTTTAAGAGGCTTCATGCCCGAAACGCTTTGCGTAATAGTGGCTTTAGGCATTGTATGTACTAGCTCTATCTATAAATCTATCAATCTTTGTAAAATCTCTTGTATGTATGTACCTTACCTAAATAAACATTTATTATTATTATTATTATAAATATTTGCCCGAAGGTACCAATATGTACCGTTGGTTCCAAACCACGTTTTCTACTATTGTACTAATTTTATAGAGAACGAGAAAAACTAAAAGGCAAACTCCAATATTCCTACGAATGGTATAGCACACATATACTATATTAGGCCTAAGAGCGTGCATTAGGCCTAGGTTTGCTTAGATTAGCTTAGGTTCTTTACTTCCATTTCCCATTTTGGAAAATGCCATTTAGGCTAATTCAGCAAAAATCCATAAAACAAATGTTAAGAGGACTTACCTCTGTAATATTCTCACATATGAACAATTTGAACACTAGAAGTGGAATTAAGTAACTGTGGATTGTGTCTAGATATTCATCTGTGACTCAAACCTCAGGTGAAGCGTATGATATTAAGGTACCGAGTATACCTAATTAAGGGGTAAAAATATACTCTCTTTTACCTGCCATGTGTTGCGTGGGGTAGGCCCACTGCCCTAGGTAGGCCCACTGCCCTAGGTAGGCCCACTGCCCTAGGTAGGCCCACTGCCCTAGGTAGGCCCACTGCCCTAGGTAGGCCCACTGCCCTAGGTAGGCCCACTGCCCTAGGTAGGCCCACTGCCCTAGGTAGGCCCACTGCCCTAGGTAGGCCCACTGCCCTAGGTAGGCCCACTGCCCTAGGTAGGCCCACTGCCTTAGGTAGGCCCACTGCCTTAGGTAGGCCCACTGCCTTAGGTAGGCCCACTGCCTTAGGTAGGCCCACTGCCTTAGGTAGGCCTGCTGCAGGTGATAGGTCTACTGCCCTACGGTGTCAACCTTGCACTGTGGAAGGCCACTGGCACATGGTCTCTCTCTCTCCACCCCCACCAAACAAAAATGAGGACAAAATGAAAACAGAATAGGTAAGTGGGATGGGAAGAGGTTGTGTGGGACGTGAAGGGGGAGACCCAAGAGTGGGACGTCCCCCGGGGCGAGGCTGGCGGCCCCTCGCCACCTCCCAGGGCGACCCTCTAAGGTCATTGAAGATGTGCGTCCAGTCTCATGTAATTGTCTTGTCTGGGGAGGCGCTCATGGGCTCCTGCTGCCGCCCGCGACACTCCTCATCCTCCACTGCTGCACCCACCCACGGAGCACGCCGCTTTATCTTTCTTGTACCACCCTTCATTCTCGCCCGCCACACACACACACACACACACACACACACACACACACACACACCACACAAGTTCGTCCCAGTCCAAAAGAAAAAAATGAAATGCAGACGAGAAACCCATGGTTTAATCAGAGATGTAAACAACAGTGAAGGAACAGGTAATGAAACTGAGGATAGGGGCAGACAGATTCACTACAAACGACAAGGAAGTGTGCGAGGAACTCAATAAGAAATTCCAGGAGGTCTTCACAGTAGAGCAAGGGAGAAGTCCCAGAGATAAGAGAGGGAATATCTAACCAGACACCACTAGAGGAGTTTGTGATTACCAGTGGGGAGGTGAGGAAGCATCTGCTAGAGTTGGATGTGACAAAGGCTATAGGCCCGGATGGAATCTCACCATGGATACTAAAGGAAGGAGCAGAAGCTCTGTGCCTGCCACTCTCCATGGTGTATAACAAATCACTGGTAACAGGTGAACTGCCAAAAATTTGGAAGACGGCTAATGTAGTCCCGATATACAAGAAGGGTGATAGACAGGAGGCACTGAACTACAGGCCAGTGTCCCTAACTTGCATACCATGCAAGATGATGGAGAAGATTGTGCGAAAAAAAAGCTAGTGGAACATCTGGAGCGAAAGAACTTTGTAACACAACATCAGCATGGGTTCAGGGATGGCAAATCATGCCTCACAGGATTAATTGAATTCTATGACCAGGCAACAAAAATCAGGCAAGAAAGAGAGGGCTGGGCAGACTGCATATTTTTGGATTGCCAGAAAGCCTTTGACACAGTACCACATAAGAGACTAGTGCACAAGCTGGAGATGCAGGCAGGAGTGAAAGGGAAGGTACTCCACTGGATAAGGGAGTACCTAAGCAACAGAAGACAGCGAGTCACTGTGAGGGGTGAGGTCTCGGAGTGGCGAGGCGTCACCAGTGGAGTCCCACAGGGATCAGTCCTTGGACCTATACTGCTTCTGATATATGTAAATGATCTCCCAGAGGGAATAGACTCGTTCCTCTCAATGTTTGCTGATGATGCAAAAATTATGAGGAGGATTAAGACAGAAGAAGATAGTATGAGGCTACAAGATGACCTAGACAAACTGAAGGAATGGTCCAACAAATGGCTACTAAAGTTCAACCCAAGTAAATGTAAGGTAATGAAACTAGGCGGAGGAAATAGGAGGCCAGACACTGGATACCGAATGGGAGATGAAGTCCTTCACGAAACGGACAGAGAGAAAGATCTAGGAGTTGATATCACGCCAAACCTGTCTCCTGAAGCCCACATCAAAAGAATAACATCGGCGGCGTATGCGAGGCTGGCTAACATCAGAACTGCCTTCAGAAACCTGTGTAAGGAATCTTCAGAACCTTGTATACCACATATGTAAGACCAATCCTGGAGTATGCGGCCCCAGCATGGAGCCCGTACCTTGTGAAACACAAGACGAAACTGGAAAAATTTCAGAGGTATGCCACTAGGCTAGTCCCAGAACTAAGAGGCATGAGTTACGAGGAAAGGCTGCGTGAACTGCACCTCACGTCGCTGGAAGACAGAAGAGCTCGGGGAGACATGATCACCACATACAAAATTCTCAGGGGAATTGACAGGGTAGACAAGGATGGATTATTTAACACGGGTGGTACACGCACAAGGGGACACAGGTGGAAGCTGAGTACCCAAATGAGCCACAGAGACATTAGAAAGAACTTTTTCAGTGTCAGAGTAGTTAGTAAATGGAATGCATTAGGAAGTGATGTGGTGGAGGCTGACTCCATACACAGTTTCAAATGTAGATATGATAGAGCCCAGTAGGCTCAGGAATCTGTACACCAGTTGATTGACAGTTGAGAGGCGGGACCAAAGAGCCAAAGCTCAACCCCCGCAAGCACAACTAGGTGAGTACACAACACACACACACACACACACACACACACACACACACACACACACACACACACACACACACACACACACACACACACACACACACACACACACACACACACACACACACACACACACACACACACACACACACACACACACACACACACACACACACACACACACACACACACACACACACACACACACACACACACACACACACACACACACACACACACACACACACACACACACACCGCCATTACCAAAGTGGAGGTGGCTAGTTGATTATCAATCGTGCAGCGTCAACCACTGGCAGGCAACTATGGTGGGGAGCACGGGAGAGAGACAGAGAGAGAGAGAGAGAGAGAGAGAGAGAGAGAGAGAGAGAGAGAGAGAGAGAGAGAGAGAGAGAGACAGAGAGAGAGAGAGACAGAGAGAGAGAGACAGAGAGAGAGAGAGAGAGAGACAGAGAGAGAGAGAGAGAGAGAGAGAGAGAGAGAGAGAGAGAGAGAGAGACAGAGAGAGAGAGAGTCACATTAACCCACGGGCAGTAAGAGAGAGCACATTACATATTGGTGTGAGAGGGAGGTTTGAAATGTTTAAAGGTAACATTACTAAAGGGAAACTCACAGAACTATTCCTAGTGCTGGGGAGTAATGCAGTGAGTAGTCATCCTGGCCAGGCTGGGCCAGGGACCAGGCTGGGCCAGGGTCCCTGGCTGGGCCAGGGTCCCAGGCTGGGCCAGGGGCCGAGGCTGGGCCAGGGTCCGAGGCTGGGCCAGGGACCGAGGCTGGGCCAGGGACCAGGCTGGGCCAGGGTCCCAGGCTGGGCCAGGGTCCCAGGCTGGGCCAGGGGCCGAGGCTGGGCCAGGGTCCGAGGCTGGGCCAGGGACCGAGGCTGGGCCAGGGGCCGAGGCTGGGTGAAGGATGGCCCTCAGGGAATAATTACCGCCCCATCCACTATAAATATGGTAATGTTCCAGTGCCAACATGTGTAGAAAAGAACAGCGTCCGGGTAAGTGATATTTCTCCCTCCCTCTCTCTGTGTCTACACCTCCCTCCCCCCTTCACTCCCTCCCTCCCCTCTTCACTTCCTCCCCCCCCCTCCCTCCCTCCCTCCCTCCCTCCCTCCCTCCCTCCCTCCTTCCCTCTGTGTCTACACCTCCCCCCCCCCTTCCCTCCCTCCCTCCCTCCCTCCCTCCCTCCCTCCGCCCCCTCCCTCCCTCCGCCCCCTCCCTCCCTCCCCCCTCTTCCCTTCCTCCCTCCCTCCGTGTCAACACCACCCCCC